TATAGGCTGCTTCCATGTAGCGCAAGGTCCGATTTGTTCGTGCTCGAACAAGGACTCGGAAAGATGTGTTGAGGTCAACAGAGTGACCACTGTTAAGCAGGTGTTTTTTTAATGGAGGACCGTAGCACTTTGTTTTCTTGTTTAAAAAGTCAACTAGGTAAATCTTCAGCGACCCTGGTTGCTTGCTTTAAATTTGTACCTAGGAAACAATGCTCTACGTTACGTTGTTATTTTATTAAAGGGCCTTATTTATTCGCATAAAGGATAAGAATGCTCAACCAAAAGATCGGATAGAATATATTTATATATATACTCATTATCGTCATATTTAGCAATACCTTCTTTATCACTCTTTTTTAGTTCAAAGACGCCAAAATAAAGGCTGATAGACGCGCCGAGTTGTTGCACCATGTCATGTCCGAGTACAATGCAATGGAGAAGGAATATGAACTCATTAAAACGGCATCCACTTCGATTCAAAAGAAGAACGAAACGCTGACACAGCAGGTTTCCGTGCAAGAGGAAAGCATTTACCAGCTGGAAAAAACTGTGCAGCTTCTTGAGACGGAGAACAACGAACTTCGACGAAGTCGAATAATCGATGCCGACACAAAGACGTGAGCAGGACTCACACGTTTTTAATATCGATTTTTTTGCTCTACTTGAATGCAACACCTTAGAGAAAAACAGGGCACTGATGATGACAATTTTCTAATAATACGCGCTTTTCACGAAATATGACTCGAAATTATGCGTCCGGGCGAACTGAATGTAATTGGAATAACCTTGAAAGATCTGAATGTCTGTCTTTTGAGATCACAGGTTAACAGACTGTCAAGGTCGCAAGTTGCTTAGGTAGTTAGAGTGAGAGAAAACTGGTGTGAATCATAACATATATCTCGAATCGCATGGAGCATACGGTCCCTAAGAAGCGTTCCGGACAAAAATAAGGGAGCTTGGGATAAAAAATGCTGACTCTCTGTCGTCTCTGGTTAGCCCGAAGCCTTCGCAAATTAAAATTGCGTTTTAATTGCTGGTATTAACTGTCTATCTAAGGATGATGACTGATTCCCGATGGAAGCGAATATGCGAGCTCCAGGTCTCCTTATGATGACTAATCTCTAAGCGATCATTTCAGGCTCCGTCTTAGATGTACGCAATTCTTCTCAGTTATTTGTTATGCAATCACCTGCGAAGGTTTTGTCTCCAGGTTTGAACGAAAAACAGAAAGCCTGTATTCTATTCGACAATCAGCTGAGGTCTGCTCGCCCCATTTCCGCATGAAATATAAAATTTGGACCTATAATTACATCAAAATACCTCAAGGTGCCCATGATAACTGCCACAGGCTTGAAGAAGTAGAGCCTATTATAATCCACTGGTGTTTGACTTTAACCTTTTTAAAACAACTTGGACGCATTAAGGGACACCTATCAGTGCTGGCAACAACCCCCAATCCAGAACAAGGGTTTTCCTAAACATTTTCAGACCGGGGTAGTAGAACGTGATGGTTAGAAGACACCCAGGGCACCTTTATCCTGCCAACTCCTGTCTTCAACCGGGAATCGTACAGACGAACGCTCGGATTATTCAAATATCTAAAGTAACGTTTCCCAGATGCAAATTTAAAGATGACAAAACAGCAAAATTTATCGATTTTTCTTTATGAATTCAATTTTCATTTTCTCTTGTGTTATTCAAGTTATGTAACGAGAGGAAGCAACTAATGAGTACTCTCGTAATTAACGGATCCGATAAATTTTGCTGTTTTGCCATCTTTAAATATTTAAATATCGTTGAGAAAACCATGTCGCTAATCATCCAATCTTCCCACCTGAAGGAATTTTAAATCTTCCAAGAAGAATTCTGCGTTGGAACTGGCTTTACCTTGTGTTTAATAGTACTTTTGGGGTAGTTTTTAGCCAGTCTTGCTAAAAAGGGTGCAAAAACATTAACAAAGTGGATGCAAGCGAAGTCTGGGCGAAATTTCTTGAAGAATCTTTTGTGTGTTTTTAACGGGCTGCTCTAGAAACTGCACCGATTAGAGAAGACCATTTTTGCTGCTGTATCTGCTCATTAAAATACGTAGGCTGTTGGTGACGTCTCCGCTTCACTGGTGCAGTCTGCTCTACCGCACCCTGTGACGGATTCGTGTTCGTACAGAAAAACACTCGAGGTACGACCTCGGAGGGATTTAGTCGTTTACCTTGCCACAAATTATTCAACTGAAGTAAGGGTAATTTTTTCTCTCAAGGATGCTACTCGTTATAGATTTTTTCAAATTCGAGTGGTACGTGAGCACTTCATGTAGGCGGAGTGTTCACATTCACACACTACAGTTCTACGCTCTCATTGCTGAGTAAGTAGGCCTGATATGAACAACGTTTTGATGGTAGTGAACTCCTGTGTCGTTGGGAAAGATAAATTGATGCATTTTGTAACACGTTCAGACAAATTGTAAAAATGTATGCGTCCTAAAAATCTATAGGCTTCATATTAACTAAAAATAAATTTAAAAAAACCTTAGGAGACTGCATTACTGCGAGTGATGGGTATCCAAACGGTGTATTATTGGGTTCAAATGAACGCTCTCCTCTTTTTTAAAAAAGGTTAAAATTTGATTTGTTAATTGCTTTTTCGCTGTTCAAGTTTATATACTTTTGAGAACGGAATCTTCAGTCGTCCTGGACCGAGAACCAACGCTTGCTATCCAGCATTATGCCACCAAAATTGCCTCCTCTTTACCTGGAAGCATTAGAGGCTACCACTGTACCAATTAAGCGAACAGAAATGACTTTCTCATTCAGTTTCCGCTCTTGGGATGAGCAACTACATCGCATTTGCATTATGTTTCGAAGTTCCTGCATCCTCTGGCTCTGTATTCAGTAGTACCGCGTACGTCATACCCCAGTGATAAGAACGATCGACGTATTACGGTACTATTAAACAAATAGTAAAGGATAAACAAGGCACAAACTGCTTTAACGGTGGCTTCAGTGGTCTTACCGTCTAATTAAGCCCTTTGGAATCACCAAGGAAAAAGACAATAAGAAGGGCGTAACTTTGGCATCCATCCGGAGGAGGGCTTATTGTGTACGAAATCTGGAGTTGCTTTCTCGGGTGGTAGTTGCCGCTGGCTGATCTCCAGCGCGTTGAAT